TAACTATTTCACTGATCGTTTAGTAGCATATGAGAATCCTGATTTATCATTTCTTAATAGAATCGTTGACTGTCAATTCAATTTGAGTTTATGATATCAACTCTAAAATCACAAATTAAAACTGAAACGATCTAAGTCTAAATATCCTCTTTCAAATAATCTTAACTAATTGAAAACTTTGATTTCCATATATATATTTTTTGTCTTTCCCTCTTTTTAATTTTCTAATCAAAAATTAATTTAAATATCAAAATACAAACGTAAAAAAACATTTAAGATTTTATTGTTAACAAGAGAATATTAATTTATTATCTCTTAATTATATCATTAGCTGTTAATTTAACTCAAACATACAATATCAGTTCAAATCTTGCTACTCATAACTCGAGCTATCTAAACTCAATGTACCTATCATATAAATATAAATATCTCCTTAAAGATAAATTTAACTAACTGAAAACTTTGATTTCCATATTTATTTTTTATTTTTTAATCAAATATTAATTTAAATATTGAAATACAAACGTTAAAAAATTTTAAAATTTTATCGTTAACCAATTTCTCTCCTTTGCATTTTCGAGTTTTTCCCTTCACATATACGAAGACATTAACATTGCGCATACGTGATCAGTTTCTTCCAGTTCAGGAATCCGAAGGAAAAGTTAAGAACAGAGTTGATATCGGGTTCAATTATTTCTTACCTTACCAAAAGAACATTGTGAGCTTTAAGAGGAATTATTGATATACCCTTTCGCTTCACAATTTCCAATTTCTTTTTAAGGAGACAGAAAGCTCCTCAACAAGGAATATTAATGTACGTATATAATTAACACATTCAGTGAGTCTGAAAATTTTTTAATAAATTATATTTTGATGGGTTTCACTTTCCGGGAAAATGGAATAATATGATAGTAATGTTCAACCGTACAAATGGCGACGATCCTTGTCTTTTCCACACTGTTTCCCCCACTAAAAGTAAACAATTAAAAAAGTTTTCAAGTGGTGAAAGATCATCCTGCCTCGATTTTCTAAACAATTGGACCACTGTCGGTGATTTTCTTTTCAATGATGGCATATCAGTTTCCAGAGCTTCATGATCATCACTTGAAAATAGGTGAAAAATTTTATATATTTTCATATATTGAGATGAGTATATAGTGATAGAATTTTAAATTAATCTCTTAAAATTATTAAATGAAATCTCCCATAATTTCTTATAATAAAATAATATTTTTTTAATTGACCAAAAAATAATATTTCTAAAAGAAATGAAGAGAATAAAATCACTAAGAAAGGACATAATCCTTAAAAAAAGAGAAATAAAGATCAGATCTCAACTCAAAATCAAAATTTTTATATTCGTATAAAATTTTATTTAATGATTAAATTATCAAAAATAAGTATAAATTTTGTAATGTTTAAAAGTTAATAATTAAAAGTAACTTAACAAGGTATTAAAGTCCCATTTGTTTTTTTGAGTTTGGATTTTTTTTTCACTTATAAGTATTTAACTTGAAATTACACTATATGATCTAATTAATAAATTTAATTCAATTAAAGATATTGTTAAATATAACCAAAAATTTATAGGTAAAATAGTAAAAAAGCTCATGAATTAAAATTTAATAATCATCTAATTTTATTTATTTATTTTACAATTAATTAAACTTTTAAACATTTATTTTTATCAATCGAATCTTTATTAAAAGAAAAATAATTACATGCTTTCCTTCGATCAATGATTTAATTAAATGAAAATAAATATATAAGGATTCAATTGGATGTAAATAAAATTTTAAAATTTTAATTGATTCAAAGTAAAAAATTTAAAACTTAATTAATTGTAATAAAATATCAAAAACTTAAATAATTATTTTGTAATGAGTAACAAAATTATATAACCCTTGCAAATTTCATATCAACCTAGTAGGAGCATGTAATGAGTAACAAAATGAAAAAACTATCACTAACTGTACCATTTTGTTTAAAATTGAATACTTTTAACCCAATTAATTTTTAAAGTGGCCCTTCTTTGGATTTAGGAAAGCTAATTGGTTTATTTCCTTTTTTTGGATGATAAGTTTTGGATCATGTGGGAATAATTTCTCCTTTACAAAGAAAGGGATGTTACATGGTTTTATTTTATATTACAAGATTTGTGGAATAATGAGTGAAGCAATTAAAGACCACATGTGCACCACCACAATAAGGAACTTTTAACATGGTGGTTGAATAAATATTAGGGTAATGTATTATAGAATTGATTATCAATCTTATAACTCATGGCTCAAATATTTTTTTTATTCAAGTTGCTTTCTTATGGTCCTCATGTGATTCAATTGCAAATTTCACACAAAATCAACCATCACAATCATTTGTATGCATCATTTTTTTTTCCTTTCATCTCCAATTGGACAAATCAATTATTACAATTTTACTTTGAAGGTTTCGATTTCGAATTTTAAAATTAAAAATAAAAATAAATAATTTGAGAAGATTAATTATTTTTTACTATATAGCTCAAAATCTTTTATACTTCCACACAAGACAACATAAAAAAATTATTTTTTATCCCAAAAGGAGGAAAACAAAATCAATAGCAATTCAGCTTTTTCCATATCTTTCCTTATTTGTTCATAACATAACTATACAGTTATATTGTAGGGATCTTAATGAAAATTTGTTATTGAAAAAAAAAAAAACCGAGTAACCTTTTTTTTTTATTCAAATCAAGGTTTCAATCAAAGCTAGCTTGGCTTTTGGATATGATTATCAATAGAAAAAATTATGTAGTTTTTTTAGAAATATAAACAAATCATCTCCAAATATAATAAAAACAATGAAGATAGAATTATGGGTGACGTCAACATCTCATAAATTCCAAATCTGCTTAAGCAAAGGAAGCACAAGCAAGATTTTTTTTTTTTTATAAAGTATGGCAAAAAGGCTAAAAGACAAAAGCATTTCATGTACTGAGAACAATATCATGTCAATTAAATCATCTTTTTGATTGCTTTTTTAACGGATCCATAAAAATTTTTATATTATTATAATTAATTAATTATAATAAAAAATTATATAAAAAGTCATCATTTAAAAATATATATTTTAATGATTTTTTTTTAAATCTTACATAACATTAAATTATAATTAATTAATTAATTTTAATAATTATAAATAATATGCTTTCGTAATAAATCAATTAATTTTGAAATTAATAGTAAAATCATAATTGTACAAAGATATTGTTGGATCTTCCATAATTGTCCTTGAATATTCCTTTTTCAATTTACCCCTTTTCCCTTGTCTTTTGCTTTGGACTCAAAGTGGATACTTCTGAAATCAGGAGCGGGTTCAAAGGCATGGCATCTCTTTCTTTTTTTTTTTTCTCTTGAAAAATCATCATATTTTGGTGTGAATAAACTATAAATTAGATAATATTAGCATGCTTTCAATTTGTTTTTAATGTAAAAGACTAAGAGGTAGTCACTTTTGGGACCTGAGAGTAAATGATCGATTCAATTAATTCGATCTTAAAAATTAAATAATTAATTTAATCGATTTAATTTATTATAAAATTTAAATTAATTGATATATATATATAATTAAAAAAATTAAATTAAATTAAAATGATCAATTTCACTCAATTTTAATTTTATTTATTACATTAAATATATCTACATTATATTATTGGATATATTTATATCATATTTTTTAAATTATTTATTTTATATTAAATTAGATATTTTGATTTATTCAATTTAAATATTTTAAAATTAAAAATTAATTATTTTAATTTTTTAAATCAAAATAATAACTGAAATACTTACATAACTTAGAATTATCTAACCTGATTTTTTCTAAAAATTAATTTTTTTTTTTTTCGATTTTAACCAAATTTTACTCCGCCTTAACAAATCTCATGCATTATTTCTCTAAAAACTGCACTTTTTTTTCAAATGTTAGCATTTTTTATCAGCTTAAAATATATGTGATTTTTTATGTGAATAAGCAATTAAAAACTTTAAAAATGATAAGAATTTAAACTTAATGATTAAAATCTTAATATAAAGATTTTAATTTGAACATTAAAATTGTTAATGTTCAAATTTACTAAGTGTAATTTTAATGACATTAACAAGAAGATTCCCAGAAAAATAATTAAAAAGCGTCGAAATTGATGTTTTTTAATGCGATTTCAACGTTCAAATTAGTTTTTAATTATTGAATAAATAAAAAGATACTTAAAAAATAATTCTTGGCATAACAAAGATAAGAAATAATACTTAAAAAAAAGCTCCTTAATATTTATATAATGCAAGAACATATTTCGATAATAATTTTGATATAAGAGAAGAGATTTATGTACATAATATAAAATTATTTTAATTATATATATTTTATTATTAATATTAATAAATTCAAAAAAATTAAATTAAAATTTTTAATTTATGAAATTATATATATGATATTAAATGATTATGATCATAAGTCTATAAATTATTATTGATTTTTTTAGCATAAAAGAGGTTATAATTTAAAATAAAAAATTATAAATATTAAAATTTAAATTTATGATATACTGAATATCAATTATGATTGAATTTAAATGTTAACAAATAATAAAAATAATTTGTTAAAATTAATAGAAACTATGTATTAGTAATAATACTAATACTAATAATAATCTTTTAAATAACATAATTTTTTTTATTTAGGAAGCGAGTTATTTTTTAAATAAAAAAAATTTAATTTTAAAGGTATTAAATAGTAAACCAAATATTCAAGTAAAAAAAATCCTAATCAAAAGACATGTGGAAAGGAAGAGAATCACGATCGTCTGGTACTCTCAGTAAGTATAATCCCGATTATCAACACTCCATCAGACCGTTCATCCATCAGTAATGGACCCTACCACAAAATTAGATCTAATCTAGGGTGGGTCCATCACTTTGATAAAACAACTTTTGAGCAAAGGTCCTTTCAAGAATCAACAATAACACAGAATAGGGACCAGCAGAGATAGCCTCGCCGTCCCGCGTCTTTCTGATCTGATGTGACCATTTGATTTAATCCTATCTCACAAATCTTACATTTTCTACCGTCGATCAAAAAACAATTTTTTACATAAATAATTATATGATACAATCGCCTCCCTCCCCAAGTCCTAACTGCCTTTCCCTTTCTTTCTCTGACTCTCTTTACTGCAAATAAATAAATAAATAAATAAAGGAAAAGAAATGAGTTCCAGCCATTAAGTTATCACTCTTCCGGTTGCGGTTTTCGGTTTTGGTTTTTGAAGAACTTAAAAAATTTGTTTCAAAAGCTAAAGGAGTTGGGATTTGGATTCATCATTACTTCACTCTCTCTCTGGAGCTCTTATATCTCAATTTTTGCCTTGGATATTCTGTTATTTCGCCGGTTTTTTAACTGTCCAATGCGCCGCCGACACGTGGTGTTTCTTCTCCGAGGCGTTCGTGTTCTCCGTTACCGTTACTGACCGGCGTTACTTTCTGCATTTACTGTACTCAGACCGGTATGTTTTTCTTTTCTTTCTCATTCTCTCGCTCCAGAAAGTGTTTTCTGCTTGGTTCTCTGGAAAAATTTTCAATGCTGGTGAAATACCAAGCATTTATTTCATTTTTCTTTAATTTTTTTAAAAAATAATTCTAATAATTATGCATTTACAATATCTAGATTCCGGAAAGAGAAAAAGGTAGAAATGAATCTTTTGAAGTAATTTATTTTTTTTAAGAAATTGTATTTGATTATTTTGGTGAAATAAACGAGGTTTTTATTGTTTCGAATTTTGAAAAAATGATTGTGCTTGTTTTTTGGAATAAGCTTAGGGCGATCTTGTCGTTTCCATTAAACTTAAGCGGATTCGATGACGACGCTTCATTTGTACCTTATCTGAATAATTGCGTTCAATCTGTTTTGTTTTATTTTTTCTTATGGATCACTCACTCTCGATTCTCTACAAACTATACATCAACCTCGTTCACTGGGGGTCCATTTTGCAGTAAATTTGTTAGTTTTGGAAGTGCTTTGAGCTGTGTTAATTGTGAATTTGTACTTAATACATAATCTGGGAACTTTTGAAGAGAAAAAATGCATGGCTCTTATTTAACAGTAAGGAATCATCTGCAATTTGTAATCAGCGGAGGATCTTGACATTAGATTTTGGCTTATGGGTATATCTCACAACTTCATCATTGGTTAAGACTTAATAGAATCACTGATTGTTACTTTAGGAGTTGTGTTCTCTTTGTTGCTCCAGTTACTGAACCTTATGCCACTATGTATGTGATAAACATGTTTTTTCAATTTCATATGATTGTAATATTGTTTCCCAATGTTTGTTTTTATCTCCGCAGTGGCCAGCATGAATGTGAATTGAGAAAAAAATGTGCAGCTGAAAAGGATCGGGAGTGAGTAAGACCTATCCAGTCTATGGAATGTCATTTAGAGCCCATAAAGAATTCAAGAGATTAATCCTTTGGAACTTCTGTAAAGACGATGTTGCCCCTAGGAAGCCAGAGGGCAAATATGCAAGGCAGATTGAAACCTGAAAAGCCTAATTTGTCATATGTTGATCTTCATCAAGAAATTACAGAAGGTGGAAAAGAGGTCACACCTGAATCTTCATGGAAGCATAAAAAAGAACATGCTGATATCAAGGCAAACGAAGAAGATGAGCTGGTGAAGTACATGTCAAATTTACCAAGTTATCTGGAGAGAGGATCAAACCCCCAGGAAAAAGTTTTAAATGTTGGGGTCCTTGAGTGGGGGCGCCTTGAAAAATGGCAGTGTAGCCATAAACAGATCTTACATAGAAGTAGTATCTCTTCACTGTCCAGCAGCAACACATCTTCCTCGTTTTCAACTGATGAATCATCAGCACATTCGAGTAGAGGTCACAGTTGCTCTCCTGCTCGTCAAAGATTACAACGTCCTTCACTGCAATCTCATCTGATGTCGGTCCCCATAGAAGGCCATTTGCCATTTGTCAAACCTTTTAGTGAAAGTGTTGGAAAGTTTCAAGATCTCAGGGCTGCACATAGCAACAACTTCACTGTTCAGGGGAAATTCATCGGAGAAGATAAATCCTTTAGCAAAAATAATGCACAAATCAAGCTGGAACAGTGCAAGAGAAGAGAAATGCACCCAAAGATTGATTCAGAAAGTGGAACTGTGCCAAACGGGGTAAAAGATAATGTGGCATCATGTGACAAGGTGAAAATGAAGAAACAAGTTGGTGAATTTATGAAGAAAGCTGAGAAGTTTCAAGAAGTTATTCCAAAAGGGGCCAACCAAGATATCAGTGAAAACAGAAACACAGTTGTCCTCCTTCTGCCAAGAGATTTTCCCAAAACGAATTATTCAGGAGCAGCCATCCTTTCTGATTTAACAACAAAGTCAAGTAAAAAAGAAGCAGAACCTAGTCGGAGGACCTTCCTGGAAACATTTAAAGAGGCTCACCATGCAATGCTCAGTTCCAATTACCATCATTCAGGTCCATTGCCTTGTGAACTTGATGGCAGTAAACATTTACGGATTAAAGCCATCGGCTCCATAGATGCAAATGGTAATGACTTTACATCAGAAAGATCTCATTCTGTGCCACGGGCAGCAAAGATAGAAATTAATTCTTCCAGAAGCAGAAATCTAGAGGAAAAAAAGTTAAATGCAAAACCAATAGTTTATCCTGCAAATGAGGCTTACAAAGGATCAGACCCAAAAGAAAGCAAGGTTGCATTTAAAAAGGTACGAAGCACTTCACCTTTCCGTCGTTTTAGCTTCAGCATGGGTAAGACAGACAAAAGATCTGGCCCCAAGGAGGATTCTTCAATACCTCAGGTGTGCTCAACATGTAGTTCTGCCAAAACTGATCCGGAGAATCATGTTGCTTCTGGTGTTGATACTTCTTGTGGTGATAAACCCAATGCTAAAAGCAGATCCAGGTCCAGCCCCTTGAGAAGACTATTAGACCCACTTCTGAAACCAAAGGCAGTTAACTGTCGCAATTTTACCAACCAATTGCAGGACTCAATATTAACAGAAGGTGCCTATAAATCATCAGAAAGGCTAAGACATTCAACTGTGACTGTGCAGCCAGCGAAAGTGAAATCAGATACAACCAGTCATTGCACAATCAATGTAAATGATTCAGAACAGAACAAAAAGAATGGATCTTCAGCAGTTCAAGCTCTTCTCAGGGTTCAAGTTAAGAATGGGTTGCCTCTGTTCACCTTTGCTGTTGATAATGAGAGCACCATTCTTGCAGCTACAGTGAAGACGTTAAGTGCCTCAGGGAAGGGTGATTATGGATGCATTTACACATTCTTTGCCATTCAAGAAGTTAGGAAAAAGAATGGAAGGTGGATAAATCAAGGAGGGAAAGGCAAAGGTCAGGATTATATCCCTAATGTTGCACAGATGAAGGTTTTTGGTTCTGAATTTTCTCATTTGTCCACGCCAAACCATGTGGATCAATTTAGCATTAGAGAATTTGTTCTTCTTACCTTGGATGTAGGACAGGCAAATCAACAAGCATCTGATTTCCATCCAAATGATGAACAGGCAGCTATTGTTATCAAGATCCCGAAAAGGAACGGAAGATGTACAATCAGAGATGGGTATCTGATTGATAAGCGTAACAACTTGCCTGAGGCTGCATTGAAAGAGTGTTCGCCAGAGGTAAAACTTGAACTTGATTATGGGAAAAAAGGTGCTTTATTGGGTGGTCAAGACATTAGTGCTACAGTCATACTTCCAAGTGGTGTACATAGCCTGCCAAATAAAGGTGAACCTTCGTCACTTATCCAACGATGGAAATCAGGTGGAACTTGTGACTGTGGTGGTTGGGATTTGGGTTGCAAACTTAGGATTCTTTCTAACAAAAGCCAATTCAGCCAGCAATCTAGTTCTTTGAAAGGTTCTTCAATTTCCAATCAATTTGAACTTTTCTTTCAGGTATGATTGCGGATCTTAAGCCAATTAAAGTAAAATGTCCATTTTATTATATTGAAAATTTCAACTGAATTCTTTCTTTGTTTTTATCATAACTAACAGGGAGGAGTACAAGACAAGCATTTCTTCAGCTTGGCCCCTTTCAAGGATGGAGTTTGTTCTGTTGAGTTCAATTCATCGCTTTCGCTTATGCAAGCATTTTCCATTTGTATAGCAGTTTGGGATAGTAGAAAACACTGCGAGCTTTTAGAATCAGTAACCCTTTCTGAAGAAAGAACTCTGGGGGAAACCACATTAAATGACAGAATAAGTGCTCCTAATCCTATTGAAGGAGAGGCCCCTGCTAGATATGTCTCATATCCACCTCTTTCCCCGGTTGGAAGGGTGTAATTTCACACGACGAATGAAGATGTAATTAAGTGATAAAGATGTAATTGTATATTTCTGGTTTGTTTGTTGGGCAATGTTCAGTGAGATATAAATCACTAGTAAGAGTCGCCCAATGAAAAATAAGAAGTAATGAACAAGGCTTGCTTGTAATAGCCAGGGACAGGCTCCCCTCGAGCTTTTGATCATTGTATTTTGATTTACTTTGGACAGCAGGAGTCAGGGGTTTAAATTATGATAGTGATTACGGTTTCGGTCACATTATATTTGTTACGGTTGTAGATATAATTACAGTTATTATAATCTTGAATTTTTTTAAATTTTATTCAATTTATTATAAAATATAATAATTTTAATTATTAATCATAAAAATTTTTTATTTTATGATTTTTAAAATAATTTATATCATATTATATGTTTTATTTATTTAAAAAAATATTTATAGTAAAATATTTATATTTAAAAAATTTATTTATATGATAATTAAAAAATAATAAGAGATAAATAAACATGTGAAAAATAAATAATCATAACAAATAATAAATTTAATTATTTAATTATCGTATTTATCAAATTATTAACGAATTTATTATGCATAAATCAAATAATAAAATTATTAAATATTCATAAATTAAATAAAGAGTATTATTATTTATGAGTCAAGAGAATTACTTTTTATGAGCTTACAGTAAATCAAATTTGATAGCCTTCATGTTGTGGGTAATTTTCAACAATAATAACCTCAAGTATACTTCTTCTGTCTTTTGATTAAATTACATAGATTCACATAACTTCTCATTCTTTCTCCTTGCATTCAATAATTTTTTTCTCCAAACTCATCCTTATCCTCATCTCTTAGTTTTTTTTTTATTTAGTGTGTGTTATCTACTTGTTTCCGTCAACCTTAAGTCTCACTCTCATCTCTTGTCTCTCATTTTAAATCTTAATAACTCTTACCTTCTTTTTTACCAATATATCATAGTCTAATCTAATCCTAAACATACAAAATTACAATAAATTTAAAAATTAAAAAAAAAATTTGAGTGTTGAATTAATTGCTTATATTAAATTGTATATATTTGATTTTGATTGAAATTGAATTTGAGAGAATTGATATTTTTAAAAGTTTAAGTTTTGTGGGTTTTGTTTTTTGAATTTATAAATTAATGTTTATTTTTTTTCTTGTTATTTTTATTTTAAGTTTTTAAATATAATCAAATGAATTTTTTTAAAAATTTTTGAATGAAAATAAAAATAACAATAATAACGGACTGTTATTATTACCATTTACTATTACATTATAATTTATAGTGGTGATTTATCCGTTATAGATAAAATTTAAATTATTTTTTATTTTTTTATCGTTATTTATCGTTACATCATAATTTATTGTTACTATTTATCCGCTATAAATGATATTCAAAATTTTTTTAATTTTTTATTTCGTTTTTTTAAATAATAGTAATAGATAATAGAGCAATCGTGAAACAGTGACGGTTACATTATTAACCGACCGCAATTTGAATCTTTGACAGGAGCAATATCGGCTGTGGCATGAGCAAATATTTTCATCAATGAAAGTGTTGCACATAATCAATGGATGATAATCTGCTTTGCTTCCAACCCTGGGACTTCAACACGCCTGATGGTTTTGCAACATTTATAAGTGTCACTAAAGACAAGGTAAGTTCTCCAATTCCCGGAGCAGTTGTTGAATGGACAAGTCATTAATTGGTTGGGAACAAGGAGTCTTATATAAATTATAACGTACATACTTTCCACGTGGAAAGCCTGTCCGATGCCAGTGGTGGGGTTAGAAGGAGAGAAGATGGTTAGTTTCATTTGGTAGGCCAAACCATTTCTTTTGGGCTATTTTACTTCTAGCCTGGGCTATTCTAGGTTCTAGTCGTCTAGTCTGTGTAGCCTTTGGTTTGTGAACTCTGCAAGTTTGATTGCTGAAAATGAAAGACAGAGACTTGGATTAAATGCTAACTAGTTTCAAGCCCAAGTGAAGCACGGCTATGTAATATATATAAATATATATAATTATAATATAATTAATAAATTTTATATAAAAGTATAAAAATTTCAATATAAAATAAGTAAAAAATATATATTGTAGATCAGTATTAAACTACATAATAATAAAGTTTAAAGAAAGATGATTCTGTATCTTATTTCATACAATGATATTTAAACAAAATTGAATAGTATTTGATTCCTTGTATAAATTTTTTTCATAATTTTTTATGGGCAATATTTCAACATTATTTATTTTTAATTATTTTATTTATAATTTTGTTAATGCATATTTTATATTTTTATCAAAATTAAAATTTTAAATAAAGAAAACTAATTATGAAATTATGAAAATTACCACAAAATTATTGTTATATGAAAGAAGAGGAAGGATCAACTTACAAAGTGTAAAATATTTTTAGTTTTATACATTTTTAATCATTCAATAAATTAATGGATGATATTAAATTATATTTTTATATTTATTTATCTCTCTTACCCTTTGGATTTATTAGAAAATTATGTAAAATTAAAAGAGTTTTACATTACATAAATTAATCTCTTCTGGTAAAAAAATAAATCTTAAAGTCTTGTGCATGCTATATGATCAATATGATTAATGATCTTTCATAGTAATGATTTATGATTTTTCAAAATTATTTTTATATAAGGTCGGTAATCTAACACGTTTCCGACGAGTTCCTACCCGACCTAATATTATATAAAAATTTATTTTTTAATTAATTAATTATTTATTTATTTATATATATTTATATAATGATATTTTTAAATATTTATATTTAAAAAATAATATTTTATATTTTTAAAAATAATATTTTATTAATTTTAAATCGGATCCGATGAGATTTAGGGTGAATAAAACCCGACCTGATGCCAACTCTATTTCTATATTAGGTGGTCAATGAATATTGCAATTGTCTAAAGTCATGCAATTAAGATAATTTTATGCCTATTTCTAAAGACTTTAATTATGAATTTAATGCACTAAAATCAATAACTAAATAAAAAAACATATTTCTTATTCTAAATTATGGAGAAAAATAAAGCAAATTTCTTGTTTTATATATTTTTAATTTTATATAAGGTACATATAATTATTTTACTAGTATGAGATCTCGCACTTCATTACGGCCTTAAGTATTTTTAATTTGCACGGTAATTGAAGGGTGTAATTTTTTTTGTTAATTAATAACAATAAAGATAATATAAAAATAAAAAAAATAGTTCTAGAAAAAATAAAACAAGAAATATAAAGCTACGACAACGAATAAAAAAATTAAAAATAGATTATACAAATGTAACAAATAAAATAAGGGTTCATATTTTTTAAATTTATTTTGATTGTCACTTTCGTTGTGTTCTAAAAAAGGACACTAAATTATATAAAAATATAAAAAAATTTTGCTTGAAGATATTTTAATAAAATAAAATAATGTAAATTAATACCAATAAAATTGTTTGTTTAATCGATTAAGTTTATTCTCATGGATAAATAGATTTTTTGTTCGAGTTTTGTCGATGATCATTTATTGAGATCATATCGAATATACGATTTATAATTATCTGTTTTAAATTATCAAGTACGATATATCTTATCATAACTTAAAAAATTAAACAATTTATTTATCATCAAATTTTATGTAACAAAAAAAAATACAATGTAAATTAATTATAAAATTCACTATTGGATTGCCACCCATGATAAAAAGATTAATCATTAACCATCATACCGTATCTTTAATTTTTAGTGTAAATTTAAAAACATGGGTTTCTCAAACTCCTCAAGCCAAACTAGTCTATTCTATGTAATCAACACTTCCCTTCTTTTTTCATTGTTCTTCTTTTCTCAATCTGTCTTTCCCCTTTTTATTCTAGATGTTTCCGTCTTTTTCAATTCAATTCATGATCATTTAAAACACTATAATACTTTCAACAATAGAAAAATTTTCAAACCTATCTTTAGGTAGGATATATGTCAAGAACCATTCTTTTAATAAAAATGTATAAAAATATTTTTTATTTTATATAAAAATAATCTTTCAAGTTTCAATTAAAACTTTGGAAACTTATTTTTGTTTGGTCTTTTCTTTCATTGTTCTTTTAATTAATAAAAAAATAAATTTAAAATAATTGAAATCAACCGTATAAAAATAAACAACTCTCGTGAGATTGCTTTTAATACATGGCATAGATTAAAATGTAAATAAAAAAAATGTTTTAAACAAAGTCTTTTTTCTTACATTTAAATCAGTCATCAATCCAAAAAAAGAAACCAATAACTATTATTTAGATATGTGGCATTAAGAATTATGTGTCGTGAATTTAAAAAAGAGTCTTAAATCTCACATCGAACATAAAAAGAGGATCACTGAAGTATAAAAGGTTCGCACCACCTCTCTCTTGTGATGCACTTTTTGTAAGACAAAACCGTGAAGTTAGAGGGATTAAAGCTGACAATACCTCACAAAGGTGTGAATCGTTACAGGTAGGTTGATCTGAGATGTCGAATGAGTAGATGTTCAGGCCCCGGAGCCGCGTGGGTTCGAAGCTTAAGTCTTGACCTGTGACAAGTGGTATCAAAGTTAGCTCTATACAGTTCGATCCACACCAAGCACCTCAAAAGAGGTAGACAGGGTGACCAACCTCCATGACGAGGGCGTCACGAGGTTGGATAAAGGAGAATATCACGGACCTAAAGAGGAGTCTTAAATCTCACATCAAACGTAAAAAGAGGGTCACTGGAGTATAAAAGGGTTCACATCACCTCTCCCTTGTAAGACGTTTTTTGTAGGATAAAATCGTGAGACCATGAAAGTCAAAGCGGACAATACCTCATAAGGGTGTTAACCATGGCAGTTAGACTGATTCGAGACATCGAATAAGTGAATGTCTGAATCCCGAAATCGCGTGAATTCGAAATTTAAGTCTCGACCCGTAACATATGTAGTCACCTGTGAATCCAGATATTTCTTAATTCAAATTCATTCATTTGCATCAATTATTACCTTTTGAAATTAAATTTTATTTAACTTTATTGAATTTAATAATCATTTTGAAAATAATAAATCAATAAATATTTTTTTTGAATAAAAATTATGCTTAAGCATGATTTCACGATAATAATATCTTATCTTGTATTTAGAAGGACAATATAAAAAAAATTGTAAATTGTTAAATTTCATAGCCTTTATTTATTAATAATAATAGAAA